ATAGTCTTAGTCCTACTTTTGTCTCTCTCAGGCCAGCCTGTAGATGCCTATACTCAGCCTGCTCCTGGACCATGGGATATTCCAGTACAGGCCCCTGCTCTGTTTACTGATAGCAGTTATCAGGTCAAAGTCCCATACACCTCATCTGTCAAGGTATGTTCATACTGGGAGGAATCTGCACAATTTCCCAGCTTAATTTCACACCAAGAGGATGGCCACAAACCCTGTGGCACCACAGGGCTTATTGTTTACTTTTACTTCAGACAATAAAGCCTTCATTGAGAAATTCTGTGTAACGAAACTAATTTAAATGTCATTGACATTCATTTTTGGGAGAGGCACATTTACAGTATTATAAGAACAAAATTCATGTGATACAGCCAAATGTAGACTTTCAGAATGATACTGTAGATGAACACATTGGATGAGTTAGAATTTGAAGGATAATAGGTGTAGGAATACATTTTTAATTCTGGTCTTAATGCTGTTGCAATATAATTTATTAAATCTAGGGATGAAATAAAATATAACCAGAAAAAATACTGCCATATACAGTAATTACATGTATATTCAATATTATTAATTAGTCCATACATTACATTGCTGTTTAACAATTTAATTATTTGATAATTAAAATCATTTTTAATAATTAATAATTTGACAATTCTATAAGATTTCTGTTGAATAATTTAAGCAGGTCCAACCTGAGCTCCAAGCATATAGCTTTTTTAACGCAAGTATATTGAACAAAATGCCCAGCGGCTCATAAAACCTTACAAATAAGAGGAAGCCATTCATTGTCATAAATCACTTCCACACTAAAAAAGTTTTGTAATACAATTGGCTGCTTATCTCCATGCAGTATTCATATGCAATTAATGACCTTATAAATGTGAAATAATTACCATTTGGTATTTCCTTAACTGTAATACACAAACAATATGTGTTTTTTCTCTGTTCTGCATCACCGTGCGTTACTTAACTGAAAAGAATCCAGCGTTTAATAAGTCATCGGCACTAGACCTGGGTTTTTCTTCTAACAAGCTGACTAAGAAAAGTTTCTCTTTAGTTAGTGATTTGATATCTGCTTGCCATCTTTTTAAAAGTGCTCATTCATTCAGTTGAATATTCTGTATTTACAGAACATTAAACACAGGAGGTTCCAGTTGTGTGTTTTTTTTATTTTTTAGGGATGTCACGCCTGCATAGAAATGGGTAGAGTTCCATGTAAACAGTGTGCTGGAGCTGGAAATGTAAGAACATTCTTTCTGTTTCTGCATTTTCCCTGTACTAGTGTGGGATATGTAATCGATATCTCAAAACTATCATTTTAAACTGGTTGCATATTACAGCTAGTTCTTAATATAAAAGAACCTGATGTTCATCCAGATTATTAACCATCTGTTTTGGGTAAATGTGTGTGACAGTGGCACACCACTGCTTTCAGGTAATAGTGCGTACAAGGTTTTTTATAAGTATATTTTAAGACTGTGAGTAGAGTATTTAACAGGTAACGTGATCTTTGTGAAAACTGGGGATTAACAGTTTGGATACATGAAGGAACATTATGTGAATAATAAATGCAAATTAAGTGTTTAGTGCCAAGTGCAAACATGTTACTGAATTTTAGTCTCCAAGGTAGTAGGATAAAATATAGGGATTGATACCATTATCATTAATGGTGTAAATTGAGAAATGTGTTAAAGTATAAGACTAAAGTCAACCGTTTACAGTCTGTCCTGCTGTCCATGGTTTCCTAACAGAAACAGTGCTGGGTGTGTCATGGCTCAGGGTGTCGTCTTGGGGGAAATATGTGCTCCCAGTGCAATGGCAGGGGATATGAGGAGTAAGTACTGCACAGAATTGAGATGCTTCTATTTTTCACCAACTTTATTTAATCTATGAGGTTATGTTCCTTTTAGTGCTGTAGTTTGGAGAAGTGGTTTGTTTAAAAAAAACATTACATGTCAAAGAGCTTTATTTAAGAGTGCCATTATCTGCTGCTCTTCTGCAGGAAACTGAAAAACTGGAAGCTCGGTGTAAAATAGAAAACTGTCCCTTCAGTTTCTTTAAGCACTGCCACTTATGAAAGAAATACAGTACTTCTTTTTCATTTTCATTCATACTAATGAAATATGCAGTTTCAAATCAGTATCAAGACCTGACATTGGCCTCGAGTTAGGGGAAGTCTGCACAAATATACCGTACTAATCTTCCACTTTCTCTGAAGCTGCACGTTTTGTGGAGGCCAAGGAACAGAACCATGCAACATTTGCTCAGGAAGTCGGCAGCTCCTGGTCTACATTAAACTCACAGTAAAATGGTACATTTTTGACGTATTTAACCACTGGGACCTTTGTGTGCATGTATTGGTTTATTGATTAACACCAATCCCTTATTAGAGATAATATCTTAAGCCAATTGTGTGAAGCTGAATTGCAAATGCCTCCCCTCTCCTAAACCCAAACAGCAGTGTCTTTTCAGGAAGGGATTTTAATACTGGTTTTAAATTGAAATTTACCAATTGTCCCTTTGTTTAAGATTATCAGTTTTGCAAAGAGTTTCTCTGCAAAGATATAATGCTAAGTTTATAAATTAATGGGGTACCTTGCAAATCTGTGGAGTTGTGGTAGCTCAGACAAGGTGTCTAGCTCCTGACCGGAAGGTCCCGGGTTCAATCCCAGGTAGGGGCAAGTGATGTAGCTTGCTCTAATTCCTTCTGGAGGGCTCCCAGGTCCACTCAGCCTGCTTTCCAAATGAGGACCAGGAATTAATCCTTCTGGGGGTCATAGGCTGGCCGGAGCGTGATGCTAACCACATCACCTCTACCTTCAGTGTCAGATGGTTGAGAACAATGGTGGCCCTTGCCCCCCATGGGCCTTTATGGCCTGAAAAGGGGACCTAACCTACCTGCCTAAATCTTCATCATCCTGTTTATAAGACATACTGTTACCTTTCCCTGAACAATTCTCACCCAATGGTTCACAGCACATAATGTAAATTCTCTCGTTAATTTCACTGTGGCTTATTTAAAGATTGCAACTGAGAATTTTTCTCCTAAGTTTTATTGTGGAGCAGTATCAGCACTTTTTTGTAGACATTACTGTAGTGATTCTAATTTTCTAACAAGAAGAATTACAGATTGGGTTTTTGCTTTTCCCTAAATCTGAGAGATTGTTTACAATTGAATCAGAAAACATGAGTCAGCCCTCCCAAAAAAAGTGTTTGAAAAACTGTTCCTGTTTGGTTTCAACTAGTTTCCCTCCAATTAATGCCTTTCATCCTTTGATATTCTTTAGGACAAACAACACTTCAGTTCATATTGGAGTACAGCAGAGTGGGTTTCCAGCAGACTCCTTCAGCAAAGTGTCTGGAAATGTGATCTTTGTGGACTCTCAGTACATGGTAAAGTAAAATGCCCGCTTCTTTTCATTAGCACTTTCTTCTGATTTGAAAACTTCACTATGGGCCATTTAAAAAAAAAAATGCTTACCTCCCTTGTAGGTGTATCCTGTGACAGGTTTCCCAGACCCGTCTATTTGTCAGGCGTCTCAGTCATTAGTGAGAGAACACCAAACGCAATACTCCACATCATCTCGCGTTCTTCAACAGGTATGCGCTGTAGAACACTTTGTAAATGTATGGTAACTGCTGTCAGCAGCCTGGATTACTGCCATATATTCTTAAACTCAAAAGCAACTCATTCTGACAAAGTTTTAATCATACATTTTCGTCTTTACAGTCTTAACATATGCAGGTTATTTGTTGATGTTTGCAATCTCAATAAAGGGCTGTGGTGGGTGTGATCTAAGAGCAGCAACAATTTTATTTTTGAGTTATCAGGACCTGCTGATGTTACTCTAGTCATAGCTTTGAATCGAGGTTGTAGGTGTTTTCTGCCATAACCACTGAACATTCAGTTCAGAAGAAGCCAATAATTAAACACAAAGCATTGAAAAATGTACAGATCTGAGACGCATAGAAAATGTTAAATACGTACAATATTTGTGTTTGTAGCTGCACTTTGTTTTCCAAATTATTAAACTGAATGATTGCTTAAATTAGTGGAAAAGTTGTACCTGTACTGACCTCCGAAGTGTCAGGTTTATAGTGATATGTTAACACCCTCAAGTTGTTAAAAAACTTACTTTCCTAATTATGGAACTGAATCCAATAATCCTAGGTACTAACAGGAAATATCAAGAAAATGAGAAGACAAATATGTCTTGTAAAAATATCGTCTTAAAATCACAAGCATTTCACCTGTAGCTATTAATTTCTTGTATCATATAACTGACGTTATCATAAAAATAAATATTTTTTGAGGTATAAAATCTGTTATTTTACATTCTAAAAGAGCATTCACAATCAAAATTGATTTTCTGAACTGTTTGGGTTCATATGAAGGTAAAAGAAGACACCTCTATCCAGCAAATCACAAATTCACTAAATATAACACTAAGACGGAAAGGAATAATTTTAAGTAGTGTTGGAATGGACTTGCGAAAAAAGATCACTACATCTGAAAATATGTGCCTTCCTCAAGTCAATTTAAATAATTTTGGATGAGGTACTCTGAAATGGACACATACAGCAAGAATTAATAATTGAGATTAAACTAAATAATTACTTAAACTCATTTTTTGCTCCCCATTGAGAGCTCATTGTTAATATATTTATTCTGGATGATTTTTTCTTGTTTCAGCGACAGACCATTGACCTGATTCCTGTCACTAAAGTGAATTACACATGGGATGGAAAAGCCTACAGTTACTTTGTCTATGGCGTGGAGAATAAAGTCAAAACAGATGACTACCCAGCCAAGTGCTGCTGCACAGTAATGTAGCCCAGTTCTAGCCTACACAGTGTATTCAGACGTGGGATAAAGTTAGCATTATTTGAGGTCTGCTGTTATACTGTGGGTGAATGAAACCAAATATAAAAATAATATAGATGAACAGCATCTGATCATATTTGAGCATTGCTTCGTACAGTATTGGATGTGTAGTTAACATAAAGAAAAATGTGAAATATACAGTACGTACATTTTTTACATTATACCATGTGACACAAATGCTTTAATGTAGCAGCTACTGTATAACATCTGAATGTTATCTGTATGTACTGACTCAGCCTCATGCAAGTCTGCAAGAAATGGAACTTTCAACATCCCTTGGTAATTGTGTGTAAGATAGAATTGAGCTTCACTATTGTACGGTACAGCCCATAATATGGAGTGGAATATTCCTAGGCATACTAGAACAGGATCTGATTTTTAAAAACTTTTTAGCAATACCCAAATGAATTTTAAACACAATTACATCATAGCGGGACAACTGTATTTTAATCAGCTTATCAACTCATAAAACCTCATATCCGAAAAAGCAGTGTGGCCTGTACTTGAGCAAAGCACTGTACTTTGAGAAAAAACAATGAATGAGCAGTATAAATGTACAGACATTTACTGTAGTAGCCTGGAAACTGCAGGGTGTTTGATTAAACTTCCTTTTCCAGATCTTTTTTTATATAGGATTGCATTTAGTTATTTTTAAGTAGTTAATTTTGTTTTGTCAGCTCTGCCTTTCTTATTTTTATGTTGTTATTGTAAAGCGCTAATCCAGGAAATCAAAAACAAAATGTTGTATAAATAATATATTAATAAATGATATAATAAATTATTATTGCAGTGGAATTTATCGGCAGGTAAATAGTTTTGATTTTTTTGTTTTTGTTATGTATTTTGCATTCCATGTGATTCCTGGTATGATATATACAGTGTTATGACAATTAAAGGTCTAGCTTTTGATATCCATGTCTTGATGTACAAATGAGAGACTGAAAATAATATTTTTATTTCTTCCATTTTTGCCTGATTGCTTAGTTTAAACTATCAATCCTGCACATTTTAAACCATGCCTTGCCAACATTTAATTCCTTGTAATTTTACAGTAATTAAAAAAAATGTGATCAAATTCAATAAACGTTTCTCTCGTGTTTTTATTATGTCTGTATAGTTTTGTCTTTAATTTTTATGTTGAAACATTTCAATTTGAACCATGCAGAAAGTGTTCTTAATGCATATTAAACTTTTGTACCTAACCTGGTGAGTCAGAAACATTCCCCACTCCATTTAAATTATTTTGCAGTGTTAAATATTGTTTGTTGGGGTTTATAACCTTTCTCAGTAGAATTACTCAACCTGACAAATACGTACAGTATTTTGCTCAAAAATCAAAACGAACTCTTACCTTAGGCTCTTATCTCTGAATTAATTTGTCACAATTGGTTTACACACTGTTAACACGGCTATCAATGACGAGAGACCTGATGTTCCAAAGTCAGTAAATTATTTATTAAGGAGCAAAAGTGGTACAAATTCTCACATAGGGTGCGTGGAAATTGACTTCACATCTCTTAAAATCAACGTCATTTAAGGGTATAGTTATAAAAAAACACTTCTCAACATTCATTTCTTTACTTATATGTACTTACAAATGGTATGGAGATCGACCAAACTCATTAATTAATTAATTAAACTATTCAGCAGGTTCTGTAAACTTCCCAAAATTAGGTCGTTTTATAAGTGCACAGGTTGTGGGGTGTGGCTGCAGAAACGAGTCGTCCAAAACAAGAAATAACGTTTAACATGGTAAACAACAACAACAACAACGCTCTTACGTGGTAGATGTAAGAAAATTGTGAATCAGGTGACCTGTGCATCTGTTCTATAATATAATATAATAAAATTGATAGTTGTACTACATAAATTAATAATATACCCCAAGTTTGAGTTTATATTTAAATTAGTTGTTTTTCTTCAGAAAAAGTTTAGAAAATGAGACGTCCAGCCAGAGAAAGTAACAATATCTTTGCATTTCTTTAGGCTTTTAGTGACAACATTTTCACCAATTTATAATCTGAGATAATTTGCATAAAACTATTGCGCAGTTAGACAATCTTGGCACTTGTTTTCTATTTCAGGAAAAACTCGATTTCAACAGGCAAAAAGTGAAACAGAAGTAGTGGGTAGGCGTGTAAAGAGTGCAGGAGGTGAACTTTCCTCTTCAGTGCAATAGTAGTGTACGATTGACCAACGATCACCTAAAACAATGGAGAAACAACCTTTGTTAAGGTAATCTTTTTAGTTATTCACTTATTCCTCGTGTTGTTAACTTCCGACACTTCACTGGTTTCGGCGTGCACCGCACTAGGTTCCTGAGACGACAAAGGGTTTCTTAATGTTATTTACGCGCATAAAATAAGACTGATTGGGAAAACGACGTTTGATTAATTTGCTCCGTTGAAAATGAAATAATGTTGAGGGTTATTGAGCTGTCGGCGTATCTTTCCAAAGCGCATAGATAAATCTTAAAACGAAACAAAACATAAGCCTTGAGTTCAACCCTGTCTTATCGGGTACTGAAAATTACGCCAGTAGAAAACTTTATGAACTCTGAATCTGGTAAGAAGGGAAGATAACCAGGAAGCAATAACTTTAGACGGCAGAATCGAGGTGGACGATGGTGCCAGTTAAGTTCTTCTGTCTAAGGCCCGGATGAGTATAATGGGCCACTACAAAAATTAATCATAGCCACAAGGTGCATACTCGGCAAATTTTTATTTTCGTGATTGAAAAATAAAACTGCGTTTTTGAGCTTCACCACAAAGTAATAAAATGTTTGTGTGTGTGTTTTTAATCTTGAGTCATTGTAGCTAAATCGTTATTCTACGAATGTTGAGTATCTCGCTAATCATCCTCGAAACCTCTTTAAACTGCTGTTTGGATGCATCAAATAATAAAACAAATTATTTGACAGTCGAATTACAGGATATTCAGCACGGGTACATTCTACATACTGTAGCTTCTCTGCCTGTAAATATTTATCAGGGATTTGTACTTAAAAAAGAAACATTTCCCGTTTAACATTTTATTCAGACATTTACGGGACGAAAACCGAAATAATTTGCATTGTGTAACTCACTGACTTGTGTGGTTTCCCTTCCTTTTGAGAAGTTGCTAAATACAGTAGGTGGTTGTGGCATTATGGAAAAGAAGTGATTTGCTTTTGCCTGCATGCTGAAATAAACGTACTAGGCTTTGCGGAAGCTTAACATACTTCACTTTTACACGCATGCATAGCTTTACATACCCTTGTAAATTAACTTGGTATTTGGTATTATACCAGGAGCCCTAGCTGTGAATGTCTATGGGTCTTGGGAGGAATCAGATTAAATAAGTAATGAGGAACTGGCAACGGTTAACCTTCTCCTATACTAAAGGGAAAACAATATTGGCTTATAAACATGTAAAAGATGTAGATCCTTACAGATAAACTGATATTTTGGCCAGCTTTCAGGCAATTATATAGTTGATTGATTGTGAGCTTGTAATATGCTTTTGGTTCTTTAATGTTATGTTTTGATTCCAGTTTCTTTGTTATAAAATAATAACATTCAAACCTTGTGATTCAAACATTGACTCTGACACACCATTGCCGCAGCTAAACTGTGACCAGTCCCATATCAAGATTATTAGCGTGTTCTAACAGGTGTTTCTTCCTATGTTGATCTTACCACACCTAAAACATTTGTATGTCCCATGACAGTTTAGTTTGCACTTCAGTAAACATACAACATGAACAAGGTATAGTCTTTCTTATTAATTGATGTGATGCGTGTGAAGTTGTGTTTTTAACTTTGGCAAAGTAAATTTTGATCTTCATTTATATGCAGTGTATATTAATATGAACAGCTGTTCAGCAGATGCTTTTATTTAAAATTAAATGCAAAGGGTGGAAATAATGTAAATATTCCCATGTTTCTTTTTCTCAGTGACCAAGGGGAAGTACCAAAATATACATTCCCAGGCCAGCAGCACCATGATGCCCAAAATGCAGGTACAGTCTGGTCATTACTAACTGCTGTAATGTTTTGCTAATTTTTAATGTTGCTGGTTCGAACATGGGCCTGGGAGTCCTCAAGTGGAGGCGCACAACAGACAGAGCCGGGCACGGGGTGGGTCTTAGATGGCCAAATTGTAATACTGACACCTGCAAATTTCTGGGCTCCTGCAAACTTGCAGTGACATCATGAATTGTTCTTCCTGTTTGTACTGACCTTCCTGTCAGATGTGGTCTTGAAGTCAGATGGTGATTCCAAATTGGTTAGACATACTGTATGATATAGAATATTTTCAGATTCCAAATGTTTAAAAAAAGATTCTACATGATAGTCAAATTTGAATGAGCACCCTTGACTAGAGTGAAGAAGTCCAATAACACATGTGTCAACGCAGGTCTTGGATGGTGCATGCTTGTAAGCCAAAAGTTACTTCAGTGTTGTGTCAAAGGCATAATGTCTGTGAGCTTTTTTTAAAAATGTTTTATTTCTAATTTCCAGAATGCTCTAAAACCTAGACCACTAAATCTCATTAGGTATGTTCTAATTTACGGCCAGTCAACCCAAAAGGCCCACTTTGTTAGTCCCAAAACCAGATTGCTTTAGAAATGTGATGGAAAAACGTATTTTGTGTTTTGTGTGTATGTGAGTACATGGACAGCTTAAGAATTATCCATCCATTTTCTAACTGCATTAGCCAGTGCACTGGGTTGAAGTGTCTCCAGAGCCGGTCCCACCATTTAATAGGTACAAGGCAGGGTACACCCTGAATGGATGGATGGGACACAAGTCCATCGCAAGGCCTGACAGACACAAACATGCACACACTGCCTAGGGCCGAGTTTCCCAGAAACCACTCAACCTACCAGTATGTCTTAGAACTGTGGAAGGAAATTGGAGCACCCAAAGGAAACCCATGCAAAAGTGGGGAGAATGTATAAATGTTGCACAGGTAGTATCCCAAGTCTACAATTAAACCCAGGAACTCAGAGCTAGAAGGCAGCAATGCTTACCACTGTGCCAGAGTGCCATAGGAGTTGTCAGCTGTGTTCTAATGTCATTAGGAGCTAATGCAGGACCAGGCCAGCCAGAGGCTGTTAGACCATCAGCCCCGCCTTCAGCAACAATGGATACTGTTCCAGGATATGAAGGAATTGGAGCAGGAGGGGGTGGTAAGTGCACTGCCAATCCTACTGTTTTCTCAGTGGGCCTTCACCTTTAAAATTGTTTACAGATTAACATGTAGTCTCTTTTCATTCTGCTGGTTGGTTGTGAATTAGGAAACTGAATAGTCCCCATTAAAAGATACTGTATGTATAAGAGATATTTGTAACTAACTTAGCAAGAACATTTACTTTAAAGAAGTATTATATTTTCTTTATGTTCTTAAGGTATGAAAGAAATGAAACACTGTGGTTCCCCCTCAGAAATTTCACAAACCCTTTGAAGAACTGGAACAAGCTCTGATCACTGTATTATGTTCATGTGTGCAAAAATATATTTTGCCTAAGATGGGAATAAGAAAGCAATAAAAGGGATGTGCTTTACAAATATCACTGACATTGAATAAAAAATAAGTGCAAAGTTCATGTATGAGTTCCTCTTAAAGAGAACTAAATCATTTAAATTTATATATTTAAAAGGGCATTCTAGTTTAATGCCTTTTAATGTTTAGTGACGGTAAAAACAACCTTACTAATTACCATTTGCTACAGCAATATTAAAATAAAGTATGGTGATCTCAAGATGACTGTGTCTGACTATTTTCCATATGAGATGCAGTGTAGTATATACAGTACACCACACTGTATATATATATAATAGATATATTTCTGTGAAACAGAAACTGGAATCCTGTTGGTTCTTCCATTAAGTCTTAGTTGCCCATTATCCTATCACAGTGTTCTACCTGTATGAGAGCTGTGATGCACAGTGTGCTGTGTTATCCTTGAATGTCAGATGTCTCACTGCAGTTAAAACATTGGCTCAGTGGCTATTCCAATTTTAAAATAGGTGGACATTTCCAAGAAAGGCTACAGATAAAAACAGCTGTATACTGTCAGTCCTCCGTATGGTCTCTAAAGATGACCAGTCTGATAAAATATACAGATACCAGAACTACAAAAGATTTTTAGGCTGACATTTTATTAAACACTTGATTACACCCACAGACTTCCTTACCAGCATAGAAATTCCATGCATCTTTTCTGTTGTGAAAAGGCTGTAGCAAATCATCTGTTTTCTGAATTTGTATTTTTTAAAGTATTTTGCTTTGCACTTCTGGAGAGCGTTGTATAGGAACCCTCTTAACTCCTTTCTGTGTTTTTTTTTTCCTTGTGAAAAGACCTTCCCCCACCATACCCTGGGGACGTGCCAGTTCAAATGCCAACTCCCCAGCCTCTTGAAGCACCCTGGCAGTAAGACTTTTCACTGGCTAGAGTTCATGAAATGGGTTCAGAAATTGTGCTGTACAGTAGGTCTCCTGTAGGTGTACACATTATTCATCCTGTGTGTATCCAGGTAGAAGTTATTACTGTACACAGACTTGCAAATTATGTTTGGAAATATAGTACAGTAATTAAAGTTTTATTTGTGATAGTATTTTTTTGTTTTAAATACATGTTATTAAATTTTAATATTTTGCAGCTAGAGGTGGCTTGTACATAATTATATGAGAGCATGGTTGGTTTAGGACACTTATAATTTAATATAGGTTATTTTACTTCTTATAGATCAAATTTATGTGGGTTGTTCTTCTGTATAAAGGATAGAGAAAGACCATAAATGACTTATCCACAATATATGAAAACGTTAATGAGTTTAAGGCCTCTTGTGAATGTATTTATCTTGTGACAGTTGCTGTCTGCTCTGACATTGTGGTTTAAGTAAGCATTTAGATAAAGGCTCTAGTGCCTCATATCCTTTATAATATTTTGATTTGTGAAGAAGAGTTATAAAAGTAGAGACTGATGTCAAATAGCTATGGAAAAGAGGCAATTTCTTTTAGGATAGTATTTAAGAGCTTTGGACTGGTTGATGTTCAAGTTTTAAATGGGGCTGCAATGTTTTTTAAACAATATAGGTTGATTCTTCCAATACTTGTTGTTCACAGAATTCCTTCCATCAGTGAAAGTGTTGCTCAGGAAGCCTTCATTAAGTATGCTTCCAGTAAGTGTTGCTATAGCACTAAACCTGCTAAAGAGATGGTGTTTACCGATTTACAGGCTCACAATACCTTTAGGGTAAGTGCAGTATAGCCTTACTATTATTTACTAATGAATAGACAGAGCTTTACTGCTGGTTCATTTTATACTCATCTGGTTGTAAGTGTCCCTTTCCTCTCTCCTTCACAGTACCGACTCGAGACGTTTACTGAATCCAGATCAACAAACTGGGATAGTGAGCCTTACAATGGTAAGAATTGCCTTTTAGAGCTTCTTAAAGACAAGATCCAACACGGAGGTCTCCAGTTCTGAGATTTTAAATTGTTGACTGAAGAATATCCCCAAAAAACTTCCAATATCAGCTGTAGGATAAGAATCTCATTGACTTATCTACAATATGACAACAGACGGAGGGGGGGCAGATTTCTGTTTATCCAGCTGCATGGAGAAAATGTTCCAGTACAGGAAGTTAAAAAAAAACAATCTAAAGGAAACAAAAACTGATTAAAATCGCATTGCTACAATGTAGTTTACTAGCACAGGCCAAGCTGCCACTGCTGGTCCTGAGAGCTTGGGCAGTTCATTCCGTTTGCCTCACTGGTTCATCTCCCAGGTCAGGTGGCGGATGCTTACTGTGGAGTGGCTCCAAAGCCGTGGGACATTCCTGTTACAACCCCTGCACTCTTTAAGGACAACACAAAAGCTCTGAAAGTGCCCTTCACATCGTCTGTCAAGGTAAATATGTGCTCTTTCTTTCTCCCCTGTATCCTTTCAGTTGCAATTCTGATTCCAGGACACTTCCTGTTCTCGTGCCCTTTGTTTAATCAGATATTTAGCAAATATGTCATCCTTGTTTTTTTGTTTTCTCAGATAAAAACATTCGGACTTGTATAGTAAATAGTTTATTATATCCATTGGTACACTACAAGTCTCTTTATACAAAATGGTTTTGCTTAGCTGAAAGGGTATGTCCATTTCGTGTGAAGTGTATTTCCATAATTTAATTAGATTCTCCATGAAGTAATTATCCACTGTTGCATTAAACATGGTGTTTGTTTCTTTTATATATAGGGATGCCATACCTGTCTGGGACTGGGCCTGACTGCCTGCAGACACTGTGTGTCATCTGGATGGGTATGTACAGTAGTGAGACGCCATACATCAACTCATACGGTCCACATTAATAATAATATATTGTATTTTTCATACAAAATATTAACACTGGGGGTCCTAATGTGTTCTTCTTATCTAGAGTAGGAAAATTGTTTATTTGATTGTAAAAACAGTATGATACAGGGGAAATTAATAATAATTCCTAACACTTATACAGCGCTTTTCTGGACACTCCCCTAACAGCGCTTTACAGGTAATGGGGTAATGTGTGCAGCCCCACCTGGATGATGCGACGGCAACCATAGTGCACCAGTACCCTCACCACACACCAGGTCTCAGTGGGGTGGAGAACAGAGTGATGAAGCCAATTCATAGATGGGGATTATTAGGAGGCCATGATTGGTAAAATCCAAAGGGAAAATATTGCCAGGACGCCAGAGTACTACAGCTACTCTTTTGGAGAGACACCCTGGGATTTTTAACGACCACAGAAAGTCGGGACCTCAGTTTTACGTCTCATCTGAAGAGCGGTGCCTTTTTACAGTATAGCGTCCGAGTCACCGTACTGGGGCGTTACAACCCACACACACTGCGCTTTGAGTGGAGTGCCCAGAAAAGCGCTGTATAAGCGCTATATACTGTAATTATTAACAGTGTAGTCCTTCTGATCTCGACTCACGCGGGAGTAGTGATGCAGGTTTTTATTTCCCTGGTTTCTGTGTGTTTGTCTTACAGATTCAGTGCAGTGGGTGTCAAGGTTCAGGGACGCGCTTTTCTTCCGATAGATGCATTACCTGCAGCGGCAGGGGGCGACTCCGGTGAGACTCAGACTTATGCCCACATAATAGTTTGATTCCCACTTTTTGATCAGTTTTGGCCAGTTTTCACCTCTATTCTGTAAACGCACCAAGCACAAAAAGTGAGCCTGTTTGAGCTTTTTAACTATGGATAAGTAAAACTTTGCTGTGCAATATATGGTATTCTATATTTTAGTTGATTCTAGATTATGTATTTGTTTATTGAAATTGCAAGCTGATAAAAAAAAATCTTAAGGTGAACAAATCTGAGGAGGTTTAAATAAGCAGTTCTGCTTTAGAGAATGAATCTTAGTTTTTAATAATGGACTCTCTATACTTATTATTTATTCTACTTTTTAATTTTTAGGTGCTCATATTGTTCTGGAAGGGGATCACACCAGTGTAAGACTTGCAGTGGAAAAGGGAAGCTTCTGTGCTTTATCAAGCTAACAGTGAAATGGTAAAAGAGTTGTTCTTATAATTTTATTTTTGTGTGTACCAGATTTGACTATCTTCCTTGTCTCAATCTGTTCACAATTTATCTAATCCCAGCATGCCCACTTGCAAAACATTTGTAACTGAGCACTGTCTGTGAAGTCCATCATCTGGCAATTTCTGTCCCATTAACCCAACTTTTGGGATTTTGGGGAAAAAAATGCATTATTAGAATTCTCTAGGAGGCCACCTGATTTATCCAATACAGGATTCTGCAACACAAAACAGTGAATAAACTTCATGGTACACAACCTTTTATCCTCATTTGTAACTTTTGTCATGTTCCAATAGCATTCCACTGTATTATAATGTAAGATGTAAGGGGTGTGTGTTTTCTAATATTAGGAATGAGCATAAGGTTTTGTAAATCATTATTTCCAATTGCCTTTTAACTAGGAAAAACAATGTGAAAGAATATGCAGTGGACACTCGGTCAGGCTTCCCAATGGATCAAATATTCAGTGCTTCTGGAGAAAAAGTCTTCTCTGATACACATCCACTGGTAAGAAAGACACCGTTTTGTTAAATACAGTAATGTTAATTGTCTGCTTGTTTTTCACATTGTTAAAGCTGCTGCACTGGTTCTTTCAAGATACGATTGTACTGTACAAACAAATTAGGTAGAGGGACTGAATAGCATCCTTCTGTTTGTAACCAGTCATGTACTATATGTAACTGTTCTTAGAAATTTAAGTTTTCTGCTCCTGTTCAGATTTTTTTCTTATTTTGCCGAACATAACTGTTTCTGAATCTGAACATACTGTATCTGAAAATGCCACTCAAGCTGGAGATAAGTATGGAAACGAAAAATAATATTCTTTACCTGAATATAATTAAAAATTTTAGATTCCAGAAGATTGGAATCTAAATTTTGCACTGGAGAGCAATGCATTGAAAGTTGTCCTGTTATTCATCATAACTTCAAAAAGTGATTGTTTTTTTTCCAGTCTGATTTTGCAGCTCTTATGTTTCAGCTGAAGTTTGAACATTTGTCATTCGATTGTCATATTTCTTACAAGTGGTCAGTATGCGAGTATATATTCGAATTTAATTTGTAACGTGAATCATCCAATGTCACTTAATGCCCTACTTTATGTGACTTTGCTTTCATGTGCCATTGTGCCAGAATTTCAGCTTTATTGCAGAATGGCTTACTTTTCCTTTGTCTATTGTGATTCTTTCCCTAAGAAAAGTGGAAGTATTCTCTGGTATCAGTTTACAGTGAAGGTTTTGTATTGTATTTCCTTATTAGAGAATAAGGTTAAACTGAAAATTGCACATTAATAATTATTATAATAGTTCTCTATAGAAGGGTTTAAATAATACCCCTATCCTTATGGACAGGGCACTTAGATTTTTAATGATCAAGTAGTTAGGGCCTTGGTTTAACAATTCATCTGAAGGACAGAACCTCCTACAGCACAATGTTCATACTGACTCGGGTTACCTTTTGGAAATTAGATCTATAGTGAATAGTACTATCTACTTCCATTAGTAACGTTTTTTTCCCTTACAACTCTGAATTCTCACCACTGCTCATGCCAGATCTTACTTAGGCTCTGAGATCCTGTGACAATAGAGTCATATTCCTCAGGGATTCATTGGCTTAATCATAATAAAATCAATAAATAATAAAGAAAACAGTGTGAGAGACACAGCTTAGTGTTTTTATTTGCTTCATTCCTCCTTCTTGTTGTAGGTGAGTCCTATCAGGGGTTTTCCCGCGGATAAAATTAACGAGGCCTCAGAAAATTCGGTGAGAGAGCACTTTGCCCAGTTCTCATCATCCTGCCGTATCATGCAACAGGTGAGCCAAGATTGCTGTAAATTCAGCTCAGACCTATAGATAAGTTTTAGATATGATATGGCATTATATTGTTACTCATTAATAGTGAGTCAGTCTTGTGTCATAACCGTAGGACTGTGAAAACTGTGCAGAATTGCATTTTAAACTGAGAACAGGAGGCACTTTTTTATCCAAAGGGTGGTGGGAGCATGTAACAAGCTACCCAGCCATGTTGTTGAAGCGAATACCATGGCTTCTAAAAAACAGCTAGTTGTGACCCTTGTATCAATTAAGTACAAACAGTCAAATGAGCTAAGCGAGCTGAATGTCTTTCTCTCATTTTTAACTGCTCGTGTTCTTTTATTAGACATCTTAGTTAAGCTGATTTTAGATGTTTAAGTTGCATTTAGTTCCAAAAATCAAAATCAAAAAGCATTTACTCCTTTTTTCTGGTCAGATTTGTGTTTTGGACTGAATTTTTGACAAATACTAAAAAGGCTTAAAATAAACTCAACTTCCATGTAGTCTGTGCCTTTCTAAACAAAAACAAATAGAAAGCCTATGTAACAGATTTCGCAAAAATAGTATTGATTTGAAATGTATATGCCCCAAACCTCAGCTTACTTTGTATGAATGGACTTTTCAAAATATTTGCATAAAAATACAAGTATAAATATAAATATTTGCATAAAAATTGTAAGTGCATCTTAGCAATTTGTGGAGTGTTTTTTGTATGATTTCTTTTACCACATTTCTCTTTTATTTTTTTTATCTTTTAAGAGACAAACCATTGAACTGGTTCCCATCACACGTGTCCACTACATCTGGAAAGAAAATGCTAATTTCTTCTTTGTATATGGAAATGAGCATAAGGTCTACACAGATGACTACCCTGCAACATGCTGCTGCACTCTGTTATAAAGATTGGGGGGAAGTTTCACACAACTTGACTGGCACTAATTCTATGCTTTGTTTAGGTAAATTAACATTATGGATGATTAATGCTGATCTAGGTCTGTAAAACACTGAATTTATGATCAAACCACGCAGCAAAGAAGTTGTATTGAGCTGTAATATTGGCTGAATTACTTTTGAATGTAAAGGATATAGATCATTTTGCTTGAATTTGAAATATGTACAGCAGGTGCAACATGTCCTACCAAGTTGTTTTATACAGATGTTGTAATGGGGCTGTAAATCGCCTGTAAGTTCTCAGTTTTTATGAGAACAAATCATTAGTCCACAATATCCATGATATCCATGTCTACATACTGTACATAGGCTTCCAGATACATGCCCTGTGGCAGGATGCCCCATGAAAGGTCTGTAATGACCATGGATTGGCCACTAGAGGCCGCCAAAATCATCTTAAGACTTGTTCATGTAAGTCAAAAGTCTTACCTGTGTGTGCTATCCATCCATCCTTTTTCTGACCACCTTATCCAAAACAAGGTTGCGGGGAGCCAGAGCCTATGCTGGCAAACAACTGGCACAAGGTAGGATACACTCTGGATGGAACGCCAGCCCATCGCAGGGGACATGGAGATACAAACACTCTTAAGCCAGGGCCTGTTTTCCCACAAGTTAACTTACCAGTTTGCCTTTCGACTGTGGGAGGAAACCAGAACACCAGGAGGAAACCCACATGAACATGGGGAGAACATACAAGCTCCACAAAGATAGCATCCCAGGAATTGAACCTAGGGCCTCAGCACTGCAAGGCAAGAATACTAACCACTGTGTGACATTGTTTGTGTATTAATGATCAAGTAATGGTTTTAATTGTGTGCATTATTTTGTAATTTGATGTTTATCGGGGTGCATCACTGGGGTTTAAGTTAGAGGGGTTGTCTGCTTGCTACCTAGAATATATTTTTTATTACTGAATTATTTGGTTAACTTTGGTTGTTGTTTAATGTGTGAAGGTGTCTTGAGCCCTGCTGCCACAATTAGGGATCTGTTACAGTATGTATATAATGTATGCACATTCAGTAGCATATTATAGGTACATTGACTGGTGGACTTGTTATACTTGTTTTCTTATCTAGTCACATGTTTTTCATGAGATTCTAGGCACTGAACTAGGAAGTCTTTTAGCATCTACATTGAACTTCTCATTTCTGCTTGTGGACACAGTCATTTGTTTCCACTTTGCAGCTGGTAGTGCTATACTCTCACAGAAATCATCTTTAACTATTATTGTTAATATGAAGGTATGAATTCATCCTCAGATTTATTTCCAAATAAGTAAGGGTATATACGTATACGTTCCACCAAGACTCTACAATGTTTTATTAACATAAGTTAATAAACTTTAACCTCTCTTAAGGTTTATGCTTGTTTCCACATGATTAAAAGTGGTTCATCTGTTGAAGGAAGTAAGGTATAAGAAAAATGAACATTTTCAGTATGTTAAATGTTTTATTTTCAGGCCCAAATTGTGATTGACATTAACTATGCTGCCTGCCATGAAAAATTCTACAGACACCAGCAGCATTGGTAAACCTTTCACCCATTTTGGGTCTGATTTTAGCTCAGCTTGTTTTCCACAGACCACAGACCAAATCCTTGGAGTGATGCAAAGTAGTTACAGTCTATTTAGAGATACCCCTAGGCACCCTGTGTTCCTTCTCTTTCAAGAAATTGAATGGATCTGAAACTGAATCTTCTAAACTGACTAAAATGAATCACTTGACAGATTTTCTAGCAAGCATTAAAAATTGATTTTGATAAACATTTACTGTGTATTTACATGTAAGACTGATTTCCTGATAAAACAACTTTTTAATTTTTTTTATTTACCCTCAGCATATTAATTTAAGAGAAAAAAAGTAATACTTGGCTTTTCCTAGCTTTCTCTTTTGTTGAACTGGAAGAATGATAGCTATTTTTAGTTACTACGAACAGTGATTAAATGGGTCAGTTTATTTATGGAACATTAATACTTTGGCAGTGTTTCCTGTATGTCACCACTTTTGTTATAAAAATAATACAGCAATAAATCATTTTTCTAATGCTTTTTCGGGGACAATTTTACACTTTATCAATTAATATCACTCTGTTCTATTCATTTCTTGAAATGCTAACAATAGAAAGAATTCTCCACCTTTTCCTCAGAGCCATTTACACCGTTAATAGACAAAGGCTGGGGTTTGGCTTTATTTTTATTTAAACAAATTTAAACCTAGAAACACTATTTATAGACTGAAATAAAAAATACAGATATGAGTTCAGTTGACTATGGCATATGTGTTTGTCAGGCCAAACAGTAAAAGAGACCTTTTCTATTGGTGTAAGTCAGTGTGTTATCCAAAGAATAAATAATTGAACTGGCTTCTATGTATAAAGACACAGGAAAACTCTATTTTAGTTACTATAAGAGAAAAGACTTAATGCTCAAGTGCCCCATTTCACTATATCATGACACAATAAACATAACAATATGGAAATCACATTCCTCTTGTATCTATAGTGAGGCGTTCCTGTTAATTCACTGTTTAAATCGTGGTCCTTCCATTTGTTGGAATTTCAGAACTGGTTTTCAGTTTCTTTATTTTTAAAAATACTTTCTAAAAGCAATAGATATAAGCCTGACAGTTTACAAGGCCATTTCTACTACGGTGTATAACACTGCTTTGTCACCATCAATTAGACAATTTTATCATATGACCCTCATTTTGTATGCAACATATTACAGGGATGGATTTCCACCCTAGGTACGAAGTTACCTGCATTTTTATCAAAGGGACAGTTGAACTTGTAATTGCCTTAATAACAGGGTTAATCTGAACTGTGTGACTGTTTTCAGATGTTTATACCTACTGGAGCTAGCCTTTTAACTATTGTATTTCCCAATTAAAATCAAATTCAAAACTTTTTGAGTTGAGAAAAATACATGCAAATAATCCGCTCAAGCAGATTATTAATAATTAAGGTCATCTTAAAGAATAACCAGAAGGTGTGTAGGCCTTTGGAACAGGCTTCAGGTAAATATATGTTAATGATTGTGAGTGCTATACTGATAAAGCAGTCCTGCCACAAGGCTGAGTAGAGGAGTACTAGATGAATGAATTTTAATTGAATTAATTCATTTTAGAGAATCTCAGTTCTACCCTGATTTCGCAATGGATTTAACGGACATTCTTACTTTGAATTTTTTTTCAGGACAAATGCTTAATAAAGGGCCAATACCCCTTCTGACTGGTTTATTTTTAAATGAATCTGTCTTGATATGCAGACAGAAAATGGTTTTTGCTTTTGGTTTCCTATTTCTATAAATAACCAGAATACCACAGCTGTGCTCACTGTCCTTACTCACTGTCCATGTAGTTTGTACTGTATGTGCTGTCACAGGCTTCTGGGCTTCTCTGAACATATTTAAGATGTCAACATCTTTTAAAATATACTTTTAATGATGCTTGTGACCTCCTATATACAGCAGCAATCAAACCCTTCAATGCATAAACTTTTGGAGTGAAAGTGTGAATTTTCCCCAATTACTTGAATCATTTGAAAAAATTAAGCAATTGCCTCCCTCAGTAAAATAAAACCTAGTCTGCCAGGGATTCATTGTGACCTCTTGGAGCTATACAGTGTTTATATCAGGATTTCTTCGCTGCTTGATCAGAATCATGGAATTGTTATTTGGGTATTGACCTTTTGTGACATAGATTGTAATTAACAACCCTTTTTTTTAAAGCTCTTCATTTCTAGAAGAATAAACGGTTCCTTGTGTTTTCCAAACTGTTTATGTGCAAATATACAGTACTTCTAGAAATGAAAATCTGTTAAATATGTCCAGTTAAGGCATTAACTAGCTAGTTTAGCTCTTTAAGTTCTGGGTTGTAATTAAAACGCATACACGCATAACATCCAGAACTGATTACTTACGTTACTGACTAACGAAAGCAGAAGAATTAGCAACATAAGTTCCAATGAGTCAATAAGCAATTAAGTAAACTCACAAAGCGAATATAGACAATTGACATAAAACACTACATTTACAGTGGATAATTTAAAATATATAACTGTCAATAGTATATACAGTACGTATGAAAAATAATACAGAATAATTCTCAGTTATTAGTTTGAACAAATCTCGTACACACGTGTTTGAAACAGTCGACGTACGCGGATGTTTACTTTGTTTTACGAGACAGGAAGCTCTGACTGACCATATTTCTTTTATCTGCTAAAAAATGACTGGCGGCGAACAGCACCATTTACAAAAGGACAGGGGTGGTTACGACTGTAATACAAACACCAGTGTCGCATCGAATTAAACCAGATGCGAGAACGAGAACGCCTTTTTATTAATCAAATACAAGCAGTGGGTGTTGAACGTGATTTGATTGGGGGTGCAGCACAACACGTTTCCCGAAAGTGCCTGAAAAGGTGAAAGTGGATTTTTTTTTATTTTAGAGCTACTGTAAGTTTTCAAGCTGAACATGGATGGAAAAGACGAAGAAATCGGTGAGTCACGTGAAACTATGGAAGTTCTTAACAAGTGGATACCATAAGTTGGGTTAAAGTTGAGTATTGATTTTTTTTTAAACCAAGCTCGATGACAGGTAAGTGTTTAACTCCCTATTTGCATAATTAACGTACAGGTCGATATTTTTTATGTTTTGTGCAATGTGGGCCTATTGTCCACAGTAGTTTAATAATACATACTGTAAGTAATACATAGTAATAATATTGTTTTTATTACGAACATTCCCATTTCCAGTTTGTGATCTTAACTAACATAAGAATTAAAAACAAAGTTATATTCGAGAACGGCAGTTAAACACGCCCTGCCGTTTCTTGAAATACGTCGGTATCAGTTTCAACAACACGGGTGGGTAGCTTTTTGTGTTTAATGCATATCAGCTTATAAATATAAGAAAAACACAATATTACGAATACACAATTCTGAAAATTCTGAAACCCTTACTTTTGGATGCCTATTGCTTTTTATGTTAGAGATAATATTGTCTGAGGAACTTTTTCAAAACCCTTCTGAAAATCTAAATTGATCATATACTGTATGCTCTGTATCCTTCATTGCTGTTTGTTTTTCAAATAATTCTAACAATTTAGTAAAGCAAGACCTGACTATTCTAAATTTAAACCTTTACTATCCCCTAGAATTCTACTGTATGGATGATCCTCTAGTTTTGTTGACCATTTCTGTATGATAAATGTAATAGTAGTACGACCTATTGCAGTTTTATCATCCCCTTTATAGGTGAAATTTGTTTATTCCACTCTGACTTATTTTTAAAAGCCTGGAAACCAACTTTGAAGTAACCATGAAAAACCTAACAAATGCTACACTCTAATACAAGAAAGCTAAGGCAGTGAAGCCATGCAGTGTGCAGTAAAGCACAATTTACGTTGGATTTAAAAAAAATCCCCAAATCTACTATGGTAAGTAATAGACATTGCAGTAATTATTGTGGGATATTTGTGGAATAAACCATATAATACTTGAATGATTATCTGTAATAGATTACCACATAGTGGGTGTATGGTAATTACTGTACCCCTCTTGTTTTCAAAGGAGAATGTGACCCCGATATTCCAGAAGAAGGTCCCACTGCTCCTCCGGTAGGCCTGTTGGACGATGTGTCTGGGTACGAGGAGACGCCTAAAGATGGGGGTGAGCAAGTTTGTTGCTGGGGATTTTTCTCGTTGGTCTCGCCTTGTTGTAACAGGTTTTAGCTGCTGTCAGTTGCAGGCAAACTATTTTGTTTTCGCTCAATGTTTGCACACAAAAAATAATGCTAGTTTACCCCTTTTAGAAGAGCATGTAAACAAATTTCCTTTGTGGCCAGCGCCCTCAGTGAGTGGGTTTCAATGCTGACTGTTGTGTTGCATGATGACATTCGCTTGAATGAGTCCTTGTGTTGTAGAAAGTTTCAGACACTGTTTTGTAACTGATGATGTCAGTTAATCCAAAATACTCCGTTTTCAAAGCTTTGTCTGGAAACCCAGGAGGGCTCGTTTGTAGTCTCATGTCATGATGTATATTGAAACAGGTTCTGTTTATTCATGGTTTGCTTTTTCTTGTACAGACAGTACAGACAAGATGTATCCCCCTCCTGCTGACAGGATGCCCATTCCAGAAAATGACAGGAGTGCAGCAGTTCCTCAAGTGCGGTAAGTGGCTAATCAAATTAGACAGCCTTGGAAATAGGTTTCGATGCATATTAACGTTTTCTTTTTTTAAGCAAATGTAGATTTCCGTTGGGGAATCAACAAACTAACCAGAAGTCTGCTGCTATGCAGTGCACAAAAGATCAGCGTACTGATGCAAATTCTACACTGGGCTTTACATCTTTATTCTATTTTACAGAGTCCCTATAGTGTCTGAGGACATCGCAAGAGAAGCTCTTTTGCAGTTTGTTGACAAGAAATGGACCTACAGGAGCAAGCCAGCTCGGGAGCTGGTTTTCAAGGATTTAAAGCCTTTCACAATTTACCGGGTACAATTTACTGTAGAGTTTTAGATTGGAATTAGTGAAAAATATTCTAGTGCCTTCTGCTTATGGATTGTGATTTATTACTGGAGCCTACAAATAAATGGTGCTTCTGAAAAATTTAAAATGCTTTTAAAGAGCAAAATGGTATTTTGAGCTCAAGAACTTGTTCAAATTGAGTCATTTTATCTATTGTACGTTTTGGAAGAATCTTTTGTTGTTATATGCATTTTGAAAATGATGTAACTTATTCTTTCAAATGACCTCTGAGTGGATACATGCTATAAAAGCCTCTGCTTGGAGTTTCCGGGTTCATCCCATTTTCTTGTAGTTTAGACCTTCAGTTTCAAGCTTTCATGCCTTTATAAAATCTTCCTGTTGTGTTACAGTAAAAGCAAAGTGCAAGTGAAATCATGGTAAACACACTCTATACACATGTACACTTTTACTTTTTCCTAAGTTAACTTCATCCATCCATATGTTTGGTGTGTTTTGGTTTGGGAGAGGTCACACCAAAGATACAGGTATTCTGCTTAGCCTTTGTGGCACATATGTTCTTAAACTATGGGCTGCAATTGAAAGTGGGTGATGACCACCAATCCTGTGAATCTGCATTTCCTGCTCGTGTATTATTTTGGTTTATATGCCACCTACTTGAATACATGGGAGCATACTTCTACCCCTACCTGGAAAAATGGACCATGAGAAGGCAGTGAGCTATTATTTTATGTCTCCAACATAGCCAAACAATACTGTACCGCTGATCTCTGAGGTGACAGGAATAGGAAGGTACAATTCCAAATTTAGTTTGAAATCATGAGATAAAAACTGTTTCTAAAATTATTTTTACTAACAACACATCAATACAGCTTCTTTTATCTTTCTTTCCAGTATCGCTTGGAAACATATACAGAATCAAGAGCAAGTGCCTGGGAATTTGAACCTTATACTGGTATGTTTTGCATCTAGGCAGTCAGAAACACTATGTATACCTTATGAAATTGTGTAATTTGCTATTTTCAGTTTCTGCTTTGCAATTATTATACCATCATATTGCTTTAAGGAATGTTTTGACAATTTTTATCTTCCAAGAATGCATGGCAAGATTAGCTTAATACCTCTGACGACTTCAAATAAAACAGTCCCAGAGATGTGTCCTAGAGATGAGACGAGTCTTGACAATTATTGAACTTGGAAGAGCTACTTGTGTGTGTGTCCCATCTTGGCTCTTGGCTATCAACCCTGCAGCCACACACGGGGGAGAATGGAAAGTGTAGGCAGACTCCTCCAATATGATGATGTTCAACCCACTCACCTTTTAACATGGCACAGGTTACGCAACCCCTCAGCCAGTTGTGTCAGTACTTGGAGAGACCCAGTCACAACTGGCAAGTGACATGACCCAGGCTTCAACTCCAACCAAGTTCAGGTTGATTTCTACAGTCCAGATATCATGCTTTACTGATACCAGGACTCAATCAGCTTTACTGATTGAGCCATATGGGAGCTTTGTTTTCTTTTCTTTTTGCTTCCTAGAATTTTTTTCAATACATTTGTCTTTAGTTTTTGATGACATGTACAATTAAAATGCTTTGTTCTAATACTATTATGCTATCTGTACATTGTCTGTAAAGTGTGTAGTCTACAGGCCTTTCCAGCTCTCTGAGCAGCATTTCCTGTTTTTAAGTTCAACACAGCTACTTTTGCACAAGAGCTGTTCCCTTAAAGACCCATTTCAGTATGGCTTCCATCTTCATGTAGTCGCATGCATACAGTATACAATACTTAGAATATTTTTCCTGTTTCTTTCTCATTACCTTTCCTGGCCGTGACTGCTGTGGGTTCTTTGTGGTGTGTCCACCCGCCCCTCTTTTGCCTCTTCAGATCAGTTTGTGGATGGTCCGCAGTACGGAATGAGCCCCCCTCCCTGGGATGTGGCAGTGGAAGTCCCTCCCACTTACACGGATGCAACGCAGAAAGTCCGAGTGCCTCACTCCTCATTTGTCAAGGTAGGGTGTGATACTCCAGCCAATAAAAACTGAATTCAGCTATGTCTTTCAGTTGTTTTTAAACCATTTAAAACCAGCCCAGGGCTAACTAGAGCAGCGTCTTTATACACAGTCTCACGCTGAAAATTAACGTTTGTCTCAACTCTTAAGTGTAACCTTATAAGGAGGTGGTGTGATTCAACTGCAGGAACAGTGGATACCTGGATACTTGTAGAGAGTTCTAAGTTGCCAGATTGGCATCTAGGAACAGAAGCACACCAGACTCTGGTTAGCATGTCACCTGTTTTCCTATTTTCCAGCAGACGTCTTTGTCTTTAGTTTCTTTAGTTTTTCAACAGTCAGAGATTTCAAGTTACCGTATACGATTAACATTTTGAGGTTAAAATAAATTAAAAGATCTTAATAAGCAAATTATTTGTTCAGTTCAGAAAAGGTTCAACTGGAATTGAAACCCATAAGATTGCTGGTCCTGTTAAGGGTCATACCACTTGTTCGTGGTGCCTCAAGCACAGGCAGGCACTCAAATAAAACTAATTAGATAACAGGAAAGTATGAATTCTGTGAACACTTCTAAGTCAGCTGTTTTTTATGGAACACTGCAATAGGTTTGTAGACCAAAGAAAGTCCTTAGAAATCCCATAATTTGTTTTGCACAGAACATTAAGCGTGCAGTGTGGCGTGTTGCTAGTTTTAGAAATGTTGCATTGCGAGAGTGAAAGCTAACTCTTCCTTTAGTGGTGACTGCACTCTTGGAGGTACTCCTGTATAATTCATTAAGCCTTATTTCCAGGAATGTCACCGATGTTACGGGCGAGGTCGAATTAGATGCAGTCACTGCCATGGCCGAGGAAGGGTGAGTGAAAGCTTTCAAGTGCTGCTCCACAGAGAACCCTCTGTGAATCAGTTTGCAATCTAGAACATGTTTTTTATTTTCTAGATATTTTCTACATTTTATTAGTTTGGATGATGCTTTCTAGTATGGCTCCTTAAAGTAAAAAAATCCAACTGCTTTTTTTTAATGAAATATGATAAACAGAGTATTTTAATAAATGGAAAAACAGTTTGAACAAATAAGAATCATTAGGGTCCTACAAAGACAATGTGAACCAACAACATAGGGATGCAAAAATACAATAAGATACAGTTTAACTAAACAACTAAAAAGAAGACGTATTTATTCTAAATAGTTTTCTCTATCATGTTTGTTTTATTCTTATTGTGTTTGCCTGTCAAACATGTTAAAAAAAGTCAAATCCAGCTGACCAAGGTTTTGCTGGGTACCTTAAGTTTATTTGTGGCCGTATCATGTTTGTTAGAAGTATTATTTACTGTTAGGTTGTTGTTTAACCGCTTAAGCATTTCATGTTTTATTAAAATGACAGCTTTTTCTGGATGATACTTAAAGAAGAATTTTGCTGTAACTGAAGGATACCTAAGGAAGTGTTTTTGTATGATACATCATAAAATAACATTCTACCTGTTCATTAAAATTACCTACATATACAAGTTCTTCAAAAACACGGGCAAAAACAGCAATTAAGTTTTTATTTTGCTACATGAACAATCAAAGATCATTTCTTTTTTTTAGACCCGGTGCATACACTGCCATGGAACCATTCGATCTCAGAATAAAAGATGCACATTTTGCCATGGGAGAGGGCACAATAGGTAAAAAGCCTTTTACTGTGTGTGCAGCAAACATGATTAATATGTGCATTGTTTTTTTACAGTACTTTCTTACGTTGTACTTGCATTTTAGAATACGGTGTATCATGTATTGGCCCCATGCTGTGCTTTTGTTGGAAACTTATTTATTACAGATGTAGAAATACTGTATCTGTAAGGTTGTTATTTTATTTACTGCTATATAATTCTCTAAAGCTCTCAATGGCAAACTGTTGTGAAAGGTACTATAGCAAATAGAGGTTGTTTGATGATGGGTTTAGTGTATGTATTTCATTGCCCTTTTATTTGTTTTATATGCCTATCTTGAGAATTGTATCTTGAGTACAGAACTCACAATATATAAATATAAAGCTTTTTATGCTATAGACTAGATAGCATTATTCTGATGTACAGTAAGTATAACATCAGGCCACTTGCAGTGCTCAAGTACTAGCTGTGTTATCCCAGTTTCCCTGTGAAGCAGCGAGACAGTGTCATGCAGTATAGTCCATAGGTATCAAAGTACCTCTTCTACAGCAAGTAAAAGTAACTGTAACATGGAATTACATATTCCCCAAAAAGTTCGAATATTGAAAAATATAGGGTTGGAGAAATGTTTCCCGTTCCCCTTAAAAGATAGTCAGGAGTCTGTCTCAGAAGATAAAGAAGTTCTTATTTCATGCGCATGGGAGTGAAACACACAGAGATGCTTGGTGTATTTTTCTTAAAGTGATTGAATTCGCACAGTCCTTAAATATTTTTCTGTTATCTGTCACGCCTCTCTTTGCCAAAGACAATTGGTGACTTAGTTTCATTGCACACGTTCCTATATAACACAATATAGCATTGTATAGTAGGCCTTGTGTCCTGCATTCCTTCCAATCCAGTTCAAATCAGTTCTGAATGTCCACCTTATAAAACACTGCTGCTTCAGCAGAAAAAGTATGTACAAAGTTCACAGAGACCCTCTCACCAACAACAATAGAGACAGTTCTTGCACTACAGATTGCCTCTAAGAGATGTATCTTTTATGAATACAAACACATTTTTATATAATCTATTATTGTTAAAGATGCCTCCTAACATAACAAGCACTAAAGTCAACCACTTGCATCTCACAACTGTATAAGAACACTCTTAATGAAAAATGTAAAACTTTTGAATATAATTTGTTCTTTGACCTATATCACTTTATCCATAGAATTTTTTAGCACAATAGTTCAGTTGAAAATGCATGCTCCATATTGGCCTAAGCTTGCAATATTGTAACTTTTGTGTAAAAACAGTTCCAACTCAGCACTATGGGCAAATAGTGAAAGAATAATGCATTTAAAATAGCTAGGTAGGACATTTGCAGAAACTAACTTGGAAAAAAACTGTAACTTTAAATTTTGTCCTGTAACACTTGGATTTTTTTTCCCTAGATGCAGCTTCTGCCATGGACGAGGTCATAAAATATGCCCATCTTGTCATGGGCACAAAACCCTGATGCACTTCATTCAGCTTACAGTTACATGGTACAAATGTCATATATTTGCACCGGTTCATTGATGTAGCTCCATGTACTTGGTTATGAGTGTCTTTTGAATCTGCATGTCCTTTCGATCCACTCTATTGCAGAGCTTTAATTCAGGCAGCTGACTGTAACACAGTGACATTAGAAAGTAAAGGGTACATTTAAGTTTCAACCACCTACATAAATTTCAATTACTTATAGCACAAATCAGTTCCAATGCTTTGTTTCTGTCTTGAGGAAAAACCATGTATTTGAACATGTGCCGGATCGGATTCCTGAATTTCCCGTGAAGAAATTTGAAAAAGTGACTGGGGATGCATTCTTTGTAGATGAAAGCATCTTGGTAAGGAAGCCATTCAAGGTCTTTATCACTTGGCAGACAGGCCAGTGCATGCAAATGTCATTTTCAGATTGTGATATCCAGTTCCTTGAGCTGATTAAGTGTTTGTCAAGGAAACAAAAAAAGAAATAAAAATGGTATATCTTAAGAGATGGTTCATAAGGGGCCAGATGTTGCCAGGCCTTCCTAAGCTTGAGAGGCACTTAAGAGATTGAAGTCTTTCTGTGATAAATGTGTAGAGCTTGATATTTTTTGGTGTTTATATTTTTCTGTCTTCCATACATTAAATGGTACTTTGCAGTCATTGAGTCTTTACTAGAGTAGTGAAAAAAACATTTTAATTTTAGTATGTTTTTACTATTAACTCAAATGATTGAATTTATTGTATTTATGATTATTGTACACTACATGTAACGTGATTCTACCTAAATGAGTTTTTATCTGTTTAGTAGTTTTGAACTGCTTAGTACAATAAACATGCAGCCATAAAATAATCCTTTCTGAGTTAAATTGTGATGCTGACAGACAAAAAAGCAAGTCAGTCAGGCTCTGGGATTAGTGATCTTAGTATAGGGAGTTGCCTCTGCATTTTTGTGACACCAGGCGAAAGCTTCATAGCTGAACATTGATTTATTTTTCTTATTTTCAGCGAAATTTCGGCTTGTTCTTTCTGTTGTTATTCGTCAATGTTAACCTGTAAATTCTGTTTTGTGGTTTGTTCAAGCAACCCCCCCAAAAAACTACTATACAAGAATATTTATGCTTTCTATTGATCTATTGACTTATTTTTTAACAATTACAATTAACACAGCAAATGAAAGTTGCTCCTGTGCATTGTTCATAAATATACAAGCTTGTTATTTCATCTGATGTAAATACATGAGATACAATGTGCTAAAGCAATGAAACGCAAATACCCATTGTAAATAATGTGCCTATGAGACACCACTGATATTTCCAAATTTTAAATCAGTATAGTATTGATTTTTATTTTGTTTTATTATTTGTGCTTTACAGGGTGATACAGCTGCTGATGTTTTGCCTTCCTCCCTCATGTACTCCTGTTAGTGTTTTTCACCCATATTGATCGATTGAGGGTTCCCAGTTGCACACAGAAAGTTTTCTTCTTTTTCCTTCTCCCCCAGGTTTACCCCATTGTAGGTTTTCCAGACGAGGAGATTTGCGAGGCCTCAAAGAGAGGAATTCAGGAGCACCTTATGAAATTTTCTTCCATAAACCGAATCCTGCAGCAGGTGAGCCAGAGTTGCCCCCCCTCCATATATATCACATAGACAGTCTTGTTACATTTTGGTCTGCCATTGTGCAACTGGCAGTGTGTCAAACAGCTCATGCATAAAATATGGCAGAAATGAAAGTGGTGTTTATACTAATCTCTGTGTGATGACATGCAGACAGCATCAGAAATGTGAGACTTTGAAACGTTTATGACTCATACGATAGTGATAACATCCTTGTAGTCCTACTGTAGGACCAATACTTTGAATCCCAGTGCTGGGTTGCTTTGTGCCTGTACTTGTGTCATTTACAGTATATAAGTTGATACCCAACTAGAATTACATACCTTTTCCAAGGGATTCTAACCTCAATTTCTAGATAGCTTAACTTTTAAATGTAGCAGATCTGCCTTAGACACAGAAATATAATTCCAATAGATGTCTCTGGATTTTTTAAACATCTACATACTTTTTTAAATAAGAATGAAATGCAAAAATGTTTTCTTACATGCGTCTATTACAAATTTATAACTGAACTCTAACAAGAACAGCAGGTTTTCAAGCATCATCTGCATATCTCAGCCTGGTAATAATGTACTAATATTTACTATTTTACTGCAATTCCTTACAAAAAAACATTAAAATCATTTGGGTAATTAACAATAAAAGATGTTTGTCACTGGTCTTTATTGGGTAATCGCATTTCTTAAAACGAACCTCCTAACGCAGAAGAGATTCAAAAAAAAAAACTAAGTCTCTTCTCTCTGCAGCGCCAGACCATTGAACTGCTTCCTCTGACCCACGCCTTCTATGACTACAAGGGACAAGAGTACACCTATTTCGTGTTTGGGATTGAAAACCAAGTTTACGCTCCAAAATACCCAACTAGTTGCTGTATTTTGTGAGGTGTTGACAGATCTCATTTGAGAAGAGAGGATTTGATATTTATTATCATTGAAATAAATACGCTTATTTACATTGATCATAAATCTATAATCTATACTTTATTTTTATGTACTTTTATATAATGATTCAAAGATTGGATGGGAGAATTAAGGATTTTGTGTATTTACATAGATTATTGCCGCCCTCTAGTGACTTGCAAGAGACTGTGTGCCCTGTGTTCTCTGCTCAGTACTGTTGTGGAAACCCCTTTCCGCCTGTCCGTGAGTGGTGCTTGTGGTGTGAATCGGGCAGCAGCAGTACAAGTCCACCTCCTTCCGTATGGAAGGCAAATTTGTGGGTTTGGGAGGCAGCACTAAGTAGGCCAATTTTCAAAATTATTCGTGTAGCATTAAGGAGGATTTTGGAGCCACAGGATTATTGCACAACGACCAAGTATGTTCTGACCTGTTATTTCAGAGGTATTTGTTTCACCTTGGTTTTCCCCTTTTGAATTGTGGTCTATTTATAACTGATCGTGTTCAACATATTCTGTTAAACTTTTTGTTCACAAGATCAGGAGCATTTGTCCAGTTGTCCTGGCTAAATTCCGTTTGCACAATCTGGCCTTCCTAAATTTCCTCCTCAGTTTATTTGGTGATTTTCTATGAGGTGGGGCTACTTGCATATAATGACTGTACATAATCAATACAGACAGATACTATTATTATCATAGTTACTCTCAATATTACATAAATGATTGATTCTTACTAGTACACAACATTTCAATATATGTTACCTAGAAGCTGTATTTCTTTCTTTTTGACATTATTTAAAGGTTAGGGTGGTAAAGCAAATCTTGATTATCATTTTCTCCGTTTAAATACTCCTTTCTCAACATACCCACTCACACATTCATGTTTCATTTAGAGCTTGAATGCATTATTGTGAAATATTTTGGTATTAATTGATCTAGCCATGTCTAAGTTGATCCTGTATAGAGCCTGCTTTAGATGTAATGAAGTGCACACAATTATAATAGTTTACTATGGCAAATTATGGTAGTATTATAGTGCACTGTTGTAAGACACAGTAATCCTATGATGGGGCTTCACCTACAGTAGATTTTTTCTGTTGTGGTAGAAATATATAAGAGGATAAAGAAGCATTGCATTGAGAATGCAAAGCAAATGTTGGGAAACTGAAAAATGTACGACACATTTTCAAGTAAGGTTTGTGCACTCCAGTGCGAAAATGAGGTGATTTTTGTTTGTTAGAAATTGTTGTTTACCAGAATATTGGCAGCCGTCTTAAAATATGCCTGTATACTGTTAAATAATCTACCTAGAACTTAAGAACATAACAAACATCACAAAGGTTAAAAATGAGAGGACTATCTTGTTAATTTGATTGGCACTAGCTTATGGCTTTTAAAGGGTGCAACAGAATCAACCACTACAGCTGTTTTGTAATTGAAGTGCTTCCTGATTTCAGTGCTGAATGTGTTCCTTTTATTTTCCACATTATAGTGCCTTTGAAGGTGTTTGGAATATCTTCTGTAACATTTCTTTCAGACTTTTCCCATACACTGAACTGTCTGGAAAATGATAACAAAAGTGCAAGACACTTAAGGCATGTTTTCAGATGAAACAATGTTATGGCCACTATAGTCACATCAACGACTGTGTGCAAATAAATTACACCATAAATGTCATAGTTTTGTCAATTCTCCAAATTAAAAAAATGTCAATTTACATTATATATGAATGTTTAAGAACATTGTAAGATTGTCAGATTGTTTCCATGTGCCCTTGAAATGTTTGTCTAACTTTCTTAAGTTTTTGTAATAAAACAAATTGTATTTACAGTACATATTGTGCTTCATTCTTTATGGCCACTGTCATTGTGTGTCTCCTGATATGCAGTGTGGAAGTTATGTACATAAAGGTTCAGAAAATTCTAAAGTATTTGTTTTTGAGACCTATCATGATTTAAAAGAGTCCCTTGTTTTTAATTGGTAAGTATAGAAATAATTATAAAATGTAGAGCATTTTTTATCTGATGGGTATTGTTAGTCACTGATTTGACAGTGTTAAACAATTAGAGCAAATTAATCAGTGAATGATAATTCACTGAATTAAAAAATCCTTTGGTGGTATGGGATAAGATTTTTTTATGGGTACACATTAAAAATAAAAATATTAATAGCTACTTGTTTTATGATAATTGTACCCTTTGATGTCCTTGAAATAAAATTCACTGTTTCTTCAAATCAAATATTTGAATATATTGAATCAAGTTGAGACTATTCGAGAAACAGACGGCAAGTAACAGAATAAGCCGATACAACCCCCACTAGAGGGCGCTATGCTATTGTTTCTGTCCGCATCCATTAACAGGCGGACCTCATCAGAGACGCTAAAAGATCTTCGGAAAAATAAACTGTAGTGAGGGATTTTTTAAAGCATCGTTTCCTTTTCACTAAAATGTGGTACACTGCAGTTTTCCTCCATTAATGTTTTATTTGAACTTTGGAAAACCTGCCTTGTTGATGAAAACAAGCAATCTTCGAAATTATCAAAAACAACCGTTTTTTACCATATCCGAAACTCACAACACATTTTCTATGAAAAATACATGGAATAATGAGAACATCTGTCAAGATTTAAAGCATAGAGAACGCTTGAATATATAACTGTGACCCGTGTGTGCTACTGGATTTAGACACCTGTGCGAAATGACGCGTAATATGGAAGAAATGCGTAGTGCGCATATTGCACACGTATAAGATCTTATACACTTGTTAATAGGTTTGTAAGGCATATACAAGGAGTGGTTTTCTTGACACGTGTAGGTTTTGTTTATAGTACTATGGAAGGGGATGAGCCTAGAAACAATTAAGGAAAACGTCACAGCGCTGCTGGGTGAGCTGTGTACGGGTAATGTCATTTCAGAAAGGGTTCTGTATGGAAATAGGACTTGAGGAAAAAGGTGCATTTGACCGGTTCCTATAAACAAAAAGTTGGGTAAGTTTATTTTGTTTTTTGATATAGTTTATTACTGTTTGTAAAAATGCGAATTAAGCCTTTCGTTTTTCATGTATAATTTGAATATCAGAACAGAGAGGAAATTATAAAGATTGGTCAAATCTGGCAAAGTTTCTGTACAGATATAGATCCTTGATACCTTTGTCTCATAATTTAAAGTTTTTTTAAAGTGCAGGACTCAACAATTCAGTAGGTGAATAACTTAATTGACAAAGTAACACCTTTAATGTAATGTGTCCTGTAGGCTACTACCTTCGTGTTGCTTGGTTAGCCCTATACAGAATAACATTGAATGTGTTTTTGAGCTATAAATAGTACCTTAACTCACTTGGGAATTATTGACTAAGAATGGTAGAATCGTATTCGATTTATCGAAATACATAAAGTTCATAACCCAGTGTATACGTTGCACTTGTGTTTCAGCTATAAGCATTTTCCCCGATACTTTTTTGCAGTTTCATAGGAGAAATGTTTAGATGCACAAAGGAAACATTCCCATGCTTGTTTAACGATAGACTTTGTCGTCTCTAAACACTTCTAATGACATAAAGACTTTTGAATGAATTGCACAATGTATTTACAAAGTGAAAGTACGTCAAATGGGAGGATACTAGTAGTAATTGCTTAATTTGATGTTTTTTTTCTGTGAAGAACGTTGGCTGTATACAAATACTGTAGTTGTACATCTAAGAATATATCTTTTTTATTAAAATAAAAAAATACATGAATGTATAATATTCAGCCAGTAACTAGTTTATTTTCAATAAAAATGCAATAGAAACTGTATTTAAGGTAATATGCTTAGTCAAAAACAGCACAAACTTTCTTCGCTTTAAACACATGTACATGATGAAACAACATGATGAGTATACTTGGGCAGCATGTTACTTAAGATTGGCATCACTGAAGATTTAAATGTAGATAGGGTTAGTGTTAGGTCAAATGCTGAGATGTTCTGTATAGTATAATCCATCTTTATGTGGGTATGTGAAATAGATGGCTTTTCCCTACAGTTTATCTTGAGACAAAACTTCACGGTTATGATCAAATCTGCGCCATTATGATATTAAATAATCAATTTGGGGAATGACGAGGAGAAAAAATGAATTATTGCCAATTTTATGTACCCGCTTGCGAAAATACCGACAAACTTTAGGAATTTTGTAATTGTCCATTTTTTGGAAAGAAAGATGAAACCGGACCTGTAATCCTGTAATCTCTACGGGTTATGTTACGATTAGGGCTAAATAGCTCTGCTACTGTCCGTTTTAGATGAGAGCGATGACAAGATCGTGGCAGCCCTAATACTGAACTGGATTTGAAAAGCGCACTAGGCAAGATACAGTAGGACGCGCCAGAGAGCGACTCCCTTAGGCGTTAAAGCACTTGTTTTTCTTTTTTTTTTGATAGATTATTTCTTTTCAGTTTTCCATGACAAATATTTGCTAGTGATATACTCAGTTCTTAAAGTTGGTAGGCTTATCAAAAACAACTTTAACTCAATACGGAAATCCAGCTAATCTAATAGTGCTTTATTTGTTAAACATAATAAAAACCAAAGCTAATGTATTTTTTACGCTTATATAACGGTTTAGCACCAAGATCCGCATATCAAGGAAATCTCATTTCACGCTTAAAAGAAAGCATTTTTTCGATATACGTTTTTGCTTAAAACGAGACCTGTTGCTAATGAAGACAACCTCCATGCTCCTGCCTTAACTCGGTTTCCATGACGACCCCTCCCTAGCCAGGGGAAGATGTGATGTACTGTAGGTGTCTGAGAGTGAATATATTTGTCTAGTTTTTATTCCAAGCCAGACGGACAGACACGCTATAGAATGCAAGCAGGTAAGCGGGTTTCAAGCAATAGGTTGAAAGAGAAAGCAAAAAAAAGATCTTTGAGGTCAAGTTTTTGCTTTCTTTCAGCTATTTTCTGGTTTATTGGAGCTGATGCACTAACCATCTGGGAGGTTCAGACAGCTTGAATTCTTAGCATGTGTTCTTACACTTGTGTAACAATGTTTAGGGCCCATTTAACAAAGCTGTCAAACAGCATTGGCAGTGGAGAGCTTGCTGTAGTTGTCGACACGGTTTGTTGCCAGGAGTTTCTGAAGTGTGAATTGTCTAGAAGCATGACCATCTGACATTTTTTTCCTTCAAAGATTCTATTCCAGTTCTTGCAAGTTTGGAATTGGACTTTTAGACTGGAAATTTTAGCTGTTTTCCTCAGTGGCATGTGTATTGAGAAGAATGTAAACTATTGCACAAACATTACTGTAACTTCACAAATGGAAAGTTCTTTAAACTTAGAATACTGAAGTAGAGGAATAAAGTATGTTGAAATATCCATGATTTCACATTGGCCACAGCCTGGTGTCATTTTCTTATTTTGAATAAAAAGTAAATCATATTCAAGAAACAATGTACATTTCACCGGAGGCTCATGTTTAGGAAAATAAAAATATATCCAAAAATTGCTATTTAAAAGATTGATGATAATGTCAAAAGATTAAAGTCAATGCAATGCAATGTTCCTGTAAAGTAATTAAGAAGACATTGTATAATCAGTTTCAATTAATGTAGTATACAAACCCAAAAACATATCCTTTCATTTTCATTTTATTTGATTTGTAACCAGTTCATGAATGGACTGTCCGACATGTCTCACCAAGTGAGGAAATGGGAATTTGCACTACACCACACATTTAGTAGTAAGTTAGTATTGAACTTAGAACTGCATATTGTTTTCCTTTTCCTGTTATTTCATTTACTTTAAATTGGTCCACAAACTGTGTTGCTGTCTGTGCATTTTCTCATGCTTACTAACAATTCTAGGGAAAAAATAGCTTTGGAGAACATTTCCATAGGTTGATAGACATGATTACATGATAGAGAAAAAGCAAGTTAGCATTGCTCAAAATAAAAATAAAAAATCTTCTGGAGAACATGAAGACCTTTTTTCCAGTACACATATCATATACTGTACTTCTCTCCTTCCTCTTCTCTCTTCCAGATCGGAGAATTCATTTTAGGCATTATTGTTTCAGCTTAGTACTTTGCTTATTCTGCAAACATAAGGTCAGTTAGAATTCAGAATACATTCTATATGTATAACACTTTCCATCATATATATATAGGACAATTTAAAAATGATGACCAGGAAGAATAGCCTTTTCATATACTGTATATATATATAATCTCTTGCTATTTTTTTATTTAGAATTCCTACACTTAGCTTGTTTTCAAAACTTAGGATGCAAACTTAGGAAAAGTAAAAAAGAAAAAGAAAAATTAAATCTGTCTCTGAGGACTTCTGTGTGTGCATCCTAAAAATGTGACACTTTACAACCTTGTCTGCTTCCTTTTATTAAAAAAAGCAGGTGTAAAGACACCTCAGTGGTAAATGCATGGTTAATATAGAATGATTTGTTTAGCACAGTAGTGATCTTGGCATTTAACAATCCAAGAAGAAACAAATCATCCAGAACAAGCAATGAAATAACAGGAATTTGCAGATATACACCTTTTGTGTGTAACTTGATGGTCTGTTGGTCAAATTAAACCTTGCTCAAGGTTCTTGCCTAGAAGATGATTGTTTATTTGTCACATTCACAAGCTGTTGGTAGAATTAACTCAAATGGATAACATTTAAACGCAAAATGTGAAACGTGAATATAAAAAGGTAAGGATTCTAAACGAATTTTCTGGCAAGCAGCTCTATCATGACGATGAGTCTTGTGGAGTAAAAGATCATCAGCACAGGCTGCTTATAAATGTCCTTATGCTTATACAAAGGACCACCTGTTGGTTCTAATTGGAGTTC